CCCCACACACACACACACACACACACCTCATTGGCCTCTTTTTTTTTTCCTTTTACACAGACACGAAAGAAAAAAAACAGTAAAAACAATAAACATTTTAGGTGACAATGCAAAAACACTGTGGAGCGGTGTGACCAGCCCTATGCAAACCCCGTGCTTCAAAAAGTCAGGTCACACCGCAATGGTAGGATGCGGCGTCTTATGGCGCTTGCTGTACAACTTTGCATACAGGAAACGAATGTTCTCAGTGTAATTTCTCTTCTGGTCGAATGTCATTCAATAGGTACAATTCTAAAGAACAGAGTGAATGTGAAAAATGCTGCATCATGGCCCCTGGATAGAGCTGAGGATCAGAGGAAATAAATACAAGTTAGTGACAAGAGATAAAACGGAACGCTGGAGAGAATTCACATATGAATGTAACCATTGCTATCCCCGTAGTGTTAACGGTTACATTTACATAGACTCATTCCCTCCAGTGATCTCTAGAATGGTAACATTGTTCCTCTTTAGTAACATGTATTCAATTCCTGTGATGTTCAGCGCCATCTAGTGGCCATATTTGGGTATTGTCCCCATTATATGTTCTGTATCAATATACTTATTGAAGAACATTCCACCAGAAGAGAAATTACACCAAGAACATTTGTTTTTGCCCCATTCTGACAATAGTTGGATAGTTCTAACAGAACAAATGTTCTGCTCCAGTTTAGCTGGTTGAATAAGTTATGTAAATAGTTTTTTTTATAAACAGGCCTCTTACATATAGCAATATTGGTGACCATCGTATGGCAATATCAACCAAACCAATCCTTGACAGCCTCGGAGCAGGGAAGGATAATCAGATTTGCAGTTCTCTTTTCACATGTGTGTCTTGTGTTCCTTCCCCCCACCTCTGTAACATAGCTTGTTCTGTCCTCCGCAGGAGCACTGCTATTACCATGGCCGGGTACGGGGGAATGAGGAGTCCTCGGTGGCTCTCAGCACCTGTGAAGGGATCAGGTAATTTGGGTCGGTGGGTAAATGAGACTTTAGTGACACGCAGCATTTTAAAATCCAGCTGAAGCTTCGGGGTTTTTAGTTATATGGTCAGGTGGTGTAAGGAGTAGCGAGCTCGTAGAGCGAAAAGTAGAGAAAAAATATATACTGTGTATATTTATATACTTTTTTTTCTCTATATATTATATATACTGTATATATTTACATACTACTAATAATAATAGAAATATGTATAAGTATTTGCGGTTGTACACTGCGCATCAGAATATCGGGCGAAAACGCAATCGCATGCGAAAATCGGCCGATATCCGTAAGGTGTATGGGAAGTTGTAGGATATTTTCTCTAGATGGCCACTAGAGGGCGCTGAGGATCACAGGAAATAAAGACTTGTTGGTGAGAAGAGATACAATGTAACAATTGTAGACAACACTGGAGGGAACCAGGAAATAAATGCTACTATTGTTCCCACGGGGGACGCATATCAGGACAAATATACACGCAGTATCGTTGGGGTAATAGCTGTGCATTTTTTAATAAATAGACTGTAAAGTCCCCATTCACAGCTGAATGCGCACGCTTTGACAAAACGCATCAAAAACACAAAACATGCCTGCTGTGCCATCATTCATGCCTGCTGTGCCGTCTTTCCCCTGCGTTTGTCGGCATTAAAACACACACACAGACCCGAGGGTAAAAAAAGCAGAACCCATGTGGAAGATTTTGCGACATGCACTACTTTTGGCACGAATCCCCATTGGTTTCAATGGGTTCAATGGCTTCCTGCAGGGGCGACAAACGTGGGAACAAAACACGCACAAGTGCATGTGAATGTGACACACGTTCCTGATACGCCTAGGTGTGAATGGGGAATATATGCATGTGTGTCATACTTTACGTCCCCATCCACACCCTGCTCAAAATGCACACATCGATGCATTTTCCCGGGATCACATCAAAAACATTCTACATGCTTTACTTGCTAATGGCACCCCAAACGCGGCTGGTAAAACATGCGTATTTTCCCGCGCATTGAAGTGCGTTAAACTTGCACAAACACGTGGTGAGAAAACGCGGAACGCCCGTAGTGGAATCTCTTACCTGAGCTAGTTCCCTGCATTTGCCGTGCATGTGGCACCCATTCGTATCAACGGGCAACGCACAGCAAATGTGGGGAAAAACACGCGCCAATGTGATGCACGTTCACAGAACGCGAAGGCGCAAATGGGGACTAAAAGCTGCTCTATGTTGGCAGCACATTGGAGAGCCGGACAGGCGTACATCGGTCCGACACTCCTCCACCACAACGGTCCAATCAGCAACAGGAGTTCTTTTGATTGATGTCACCCACTTACCCTGCCAAAGTCCAGCTTAGCCCCTCCTCCAGCAATCTCCTGAGCCTCCCATTGGTCAGTGAAGTCTTCATCACATTAAAGAACCAATAGGAAAGCTCATGGACAAGGACCGGACCAAGCTGGAATTGTACAAGAACTGCTGAGAATTTCTTATAATAAATATATATTTTCCCTGTCCTCAGCGGCCTGATTGTGCTGGACGCCAACAACAGCCTCTACCTCCATCCGCTGGCAGCGCCGGGCTCCGGGAGCCACATGCTGTACCGCACAGAACACCTTCCCATTAAAAGTGGAAGCTGCGGCCATGAAGAGCACTCAGCCAGCGCCGCCTCTCACCTCGGTGAACTCACATCCCAGCCTGGCCATCACAGGGTAAGACATAGGGTTGGCGTGACCAACATGGGGCGTTTTCCTGGGCCCAGGACCTGGGATAACCTGATAAGGCTGAGCAGCACTAGATCCAAAAGTTTGCAACATGTGCGCACATTTCAAAATTGAATTCAGCCTCCCAGAGAAAGGACTAAAGGAAGAGGAGTCACAAGACTCTCTTCAGCTGACATAGCATGATAGGAACACCCAAAACACCGAAGTGGGCAGGAACAGAGCCAGGGAATGTGGCTAGAAGTTCTCACTGGACTTGGGGGTGACCTGGCCCATCAGACTTTAGTAACCTGGAAAGTTTCTGTTGTAGTCACATTCAGTGCAGACGGTTGGAGCATGGACCCCAGTGTGTCAAGGGGCTTGATCTGGAGAGGGAGCTCCAGGGGACAGAGCAATTCAGTTTGTGCTAAATGATAAATGAAAATAGAGAAGTATGGCGGATGTCATTGTTCACCCCCTTCTGAATATACAATGGCTTTCATTGTGATCCCCTGGCTTCAATATTTAGGTTTGCACACCAGGAGTCCTAAGTGAACTTTTTACAGGTTAGAGACACAGGAGTTATTGAAGCCAGGGGATCAGAATAACACCCAGCCATCCCTGTCCTGTGCTATATGCTGCTATTCATAGTGATGGAGGATTGTGCTGGGAGGGCGACATCGCCATCTGGTGGCCATTTCAGTGCAGCACACTGGCCGGTACAGGAGGGGGACCCGGGTGCTGCAATCATTTAATTACAATGGTGGAAATACTTTGTATAAAATTCTCTAAATGTCTCCATGCAGATGAGTGACAGGAGATCATTCTTCTCCCTTACAAGTCTCTGTTCTCTGTCCTGCAGATGAAGAGGAATGTGTGGGGGCCTCAGAAGTATATGGAGCTGTATATAGTCGCTGACTACTTAATGGTGAGTCTGTACAGGAGGATACCGATCTTATCTGATCACTGTTTGCTTCCTTTACCCTCTCTCACTCATACCCTCCCTCTCCCCCCAACCTCTGACCTCCCCCTTTTCTGCCCTTACGCCCTACCTCTGCCCCCATTCCACTCCCTCCTTACTCCCTCCCTACCCAGGTCACCTTTCTCGCTCCTAGTCCTCATTCTACCTCCCTACCTCTAACTCTACCCCCTCTCCCCCATTACTCTCACCTCTGTCCCCATTCTACTTCCTCAATACGCCCTACCCATGTCACCTTTCTCACTCCTACCCCCTCTTTCTATCTCCCTACCTCTGACTCCACCCCCTCTCCCCCTTACTCCCTACCTTTGCCCCCCTTTCCCATTCCCTTTTTATTTCTCACTACCTCCATGCCCCCAACACTCCCCATCTATGTTCCTCCCTTCCTTTTTCATCCCCAACTGTTTCCCCATATTTCTTACCCCCAATATCCTCCCTGTTTTTCTTCCTCCCTTTCCCTTTCTTCACTCCCTCCTCATCTTACATTCTCCCTACGCCCCACCACTCCACCCCCATTCCCTCTCTATCTTTCTCTCAGACTACATGTCCCCAGAGCAGACTACATGTACCCAGAGCAAATACATATCCCCAAAGCAGAATAGATGTCCCCAGAGCAGAATGCATGTCCCCAGAGCAGAATGCATGTCCCCAGAGCAGAATGCATGTCCCCAGAGCAGAATGCATGTCCCCAGAGCAGAATACATGTCCCAAGAGCAAAATACATGTCACCAAAGCACAATACATGTCCCCAGAGCAGAATCGATGTCCCCAGAGCAGAATAGATGTCACCAAACCAGAATACATGTCCTTAGAGCAGAATACATGTCCCAAGAGCAGAATACATATCGCCAGAGCAGGCTACGTGTTCTCAAAGCAGAGGACGATATAAAATATTGATAAAATAACAATTGAGAGAAGTCAGGAACCCCATCAAGCAACGTATTGATCAGGGTTCCTTCAGCTTGATTGCCCAGAGGTTGGCCATAAGTAGCGCATTGTTCGTTTGATGATTTTCTAATTTCTATTAAAACAAAATCTAATTTGAGATCACATGACCGGGTTGCTGCATGCCTGACCATCAAGAGTTCCCCAGAATAGTTTTGTAAATGGCATTGTTCAGCGTTATATCCCGGTGGATAAGCATTGTGTTCTGCATACCGCGGTGAATGTCTAACTTATACTTCTCTGGATGACAGTACAGAAAGCAGAACATGGACCTGGGAAAGACCAAACAGCGCATCATGGAGATCACCAACTTCGTGGACAAGGTGAGCGCGGGGACCATGGAAGGGTCAACTGTCCTAGAAGACGGACCAATTCACACTCAATGTAATATCAGACATTTCTTAGTAAACTTTGACTGAGTGGCCCCTCTGATTACACATTGTATTGGGTTAGGAATATATTTCCTACCTTGGCCAATCACTGACGAGTTCATCCCAGTGATGTGAGCTGAGGAACAGGATAAATATAAGGAGAGACCTTCTAGACCAGCGGTCCCCAACCTTTCCGCCCCCCTAGCTTCAACACTGCCCCCAACCACCCCCGTGCTTCCCCTTCCCCCACACTGAGCCACTATTACCTGGCTTCTCCCCACTTTTTCTATGTCACGCAGCCTGCTCAGTCCAGGTACTGACAAGATGCCCCGCCTCCTGCAGAGCCCGCACTGTACTGAGAGCCGCGCATTCCTTGTGACAGCCGCTGCTTGAGTCAGTGAGAGGCAGCCCCGGAGCCTCCGTGCCATTTCAATGACGGCCCAGCCTGCACGGCATCAGAGGGGCCGGGGGACTACCAATATTTTCTCGCGGACCACTGGTTGCCGACCGCTGTTCTAGAAGGATCCATGACTCCCAGGCTATGTCTAGGGAGGATGACTGTGTAAAAGGGTCCCGTTTTTCCCTCCCAAGCTTTTGCCTGGGAAGGAAGCCAGAAGAAGGGTTTCGTTCTCTTGGAGGTCTGAACCTGGACTTAAAGTTGGCCTGTGGCAGAGGCCTTAGAAACAGGAAGGTCGCTACGCTGGGGGAGCACCTTCCAAGGGGTCTGCTGTGCTGTATGGGGTCCCGGAGAGCTTGGGTGAAGCAGCTGCAGCTTGGACATTGCATTGGCATTTCTGTTGCTCAGCTATTCAAGGTACCGGTGACCGTCCTGTCATTTAGAGTCAAATGGCCAATCTGTTATTGGGAGGCTGCCACTGAAATATTAGAGACACCGTCAACTTTGTTGTTAGAAGAAGGCTGTTCTTAAAGGGCCACGATTGGTTTGCTGCTACTAGAAGGCCTCGGATATTTTTGCAGTCTTTGTGGGTATCCAGTGCCCTTAAACCCTCTCTCCACAAAGTAATGAAGCAAATAAACCTTAAAGAGTGACTGTAGCCTAGTTGTCACCACCGGCAGGTCATGTGTTGTTGGGTACAGCTACAGGACGGATCGCCATCAGGAAGCCAGGGAAGCTCCTTCAGGAGACCTACATACATACTAAGTCTTGGCTGACATTGTGCTAACGATTGTCCTCTCTCACCTCGTTCCCAGTTCTACATGTCGATGAACATCAAGGTGGCTCTGATCGGCCTGGAGGTTTGGACGTCGGGTGACCAGTGCGAGATTCGGGATGACGCCAACCACAGCCTGCGCACCTTCCTGGCATGGAAACAGAAGCTGAAGAGCAAGAAGAAGCATGATAATGCCCAGCTCATCACGTCAGTATAATGAGCTCCTTCTGTACTTCAAAAACAAACCTGGTTGTAGTTATAGATGGAGTTTGGGGTCCACTGGAATATGTTTTTGGTGGGGTGATCTTTATATTTGTATATTTATGTGTTTCAGTGGAGTGACTTTCAAAGGAACCACCATTGGGATGGCCCCGCTGGAAGGGATGTGCTCAATGGAGAACTCTGGGGGCGTCAGTATGGTGAGTCAATGTTTGTAGATAATGCCTTAGGATAGTGCTGCTATATGAGGAATATCCAGAACAGTATTATTGGATATTGTTGTTCCCGTTCCTCTTTTGGGGGCCCCTCAATTGTATTGACAAGGAGATTGTAAAACACATGGTTGGGTGGAAGGTGTTAATGCGGAACAGCTAAAAACAGTCATGAAATGCATAGTGTGCGGGGCTGTTGATAGGGAGGTACAGGCAGTATTCCCGTACCAGGCCTGGGTTCCATTGGGATAGTAGGGGCTGCCAGAAGGGGCTGCCCACAGGAGTGCAGCTTTATGCAAGGCCCCATTATTTCTAATGGTGGCCCCATCTTTGCCCTGGGGGTATATAATGTTGGGCAGTCAATGTGAATGGGGCAGTAGTCAGTACTCTCTGCCATCTCTCACCCCTTTGTCATTTCTGTAGCTACCCTGGGGTCGAAGTTTGCTCAATCAGGGCCCATCGCAACCAGCCATAGGTCTCTGGACAGAATGGGGATCCAGCATGGCCTAACCAGGGAATGGCAGGAGGAAGCGTGGTGCAGGGGGCTCAACTGGCACTGTGTGAATGGATGGAGTGTAACTGCTCTGACAACATGGCGGGTGACTGAGGATACATATGGAAGTTATTGAGGAAGGGAAGTCCATCAAATTGGCTTTACGGGGCCCCATCATTTCTAATAGCAGCTCTGTATGTAGGAAAATTGTCTTACCTGGAACAGGATTTGCCTCTGCTGCAGTTTAATGGCAGCAACCCAGCTGGGTCACCTTCCCATCCCTACCCTGTGATTGGACAGTGAAGGAGCAGCAACAGACTGGTCAAGTCATCTCAGACGTAAATGTGGCATTCCTGATTGGCTCCTTGTGTGCTGCCCCTCCCTCTCCCGGTGTGAGCTCCGCTGTACAGAGAATTATTAGCGGCTGATAACAAGTCTAATGTAACTATTTATACCGAGTGCATTGGAAATACAGTGATGTGCAAAGGTTTTCGGCACTTGTGATAAAGCGCTGTAAAGTGAGGACGCTTTATAGAGCAATACAATCCATTTTTATTTATCGATCAACAACAGATGGAGGGCTGCGGACAAGTTACCTTTTTTGTTTTTCGGTCATTGCAGGATCACTCTGACCTGGCCATCGGCGCCGCGGCCACAATGGCTCATGAGATCGGACACAATTTTGGGATGAGTCACGACAAAGAATACTGCTGTAAGGAGGCCACCGCGGAGCAAGGCGGGTGCATTATGGCGGCTGCTACAGGGTAAGTCTGGAAGAGGGACGCAACGCATGTTATTTCAGTCCAGTAATAAGCTGTTGACTTATAAATGAAAGCCTTTGTTTACGTGTTTTTGTATGTAATTGCTGTTCCATATTTCCAGGATCATATTCCATATGCAAATGTATAACTTCTCCCTATATCTGTATACCGAGCAGTGCAGTTGTCAGCCCTCTCTGATGACTGAGGACATCAAGAGACGTTGAGGAGCCAGCAGGATGCTGTACAGAGCTTTCTAGAAATGTCCCAGCACCCTGCCTAGTACTCCTCTCAAGAGCCCCCGACCCTGATGCAAGCAGTGGGTTGGCTTTTGGGAGGAGTTATTCAAATATCAGAATGCCTTGATGGGTGGATGTCAGTCTGGAGAAGTGGGTGGTACTAGGCAGACTACATTTGCATGCATGCCACCCCAGGTAACACCCAGTGACGTGCCGTGCCTTCTGTGGTGGGTGAGGCATCCCCCAGCCCGCCGAAGTGCAGCCCCATCCCGCCGAAGCTCCACCCCCAGCTCGGTAACCGAGACAGGGAGGAGCCTCCCTGTCACTCACTTGCCCGTCACTGGTGAGGCATCAAGATCGATGGCCTCAGTGGGGGTTTTTTTTCCTTTTTTTTTGATTGGACAGCTTGGACCAATGGCGCTTTGCCATTGGTCCAAGCCATCCACAGAGTTCACGCCTCTTACATAGAGTAGAGGCTGTGACAGCTCTGGCCTCACCAAGTTAGGTTACACAAGCAGTGCGGAAGCCAGCTGCTGTGTAACCTAACTACCTGTCAAAAGCCGGATGCAGCACTGCCTGTCATTAACAGGCGGCACTCCGTCCGTGACAGGTTACACAGCGGGGAGGCTTTCCATGACAGGTTACACGGCGGGGAGGCTTTCCATGACAGGTTACACAGCGGGGAGGCTTTCCATGACAGGTTACACAGCGGGGAGGCTTTCCATGACAGGTTACACGGCGGGGGGGGCTTTCCCTGCTCTGTAACCTGGAACAAGCCGCACTGAATGGAGAAAAAGCTGTCAGCTTCAGACTTGAAGCTGACACCTTCTTTCGCTCTGCCTCACCTGCCTCCCCTGACCGCACGTCCCTGGTAACTCCCACATGGGATGCTGAGCCTCCATGATCGAAAAAACTGAACCCAATGAATGAAAGGGGTGGGGCCAGGGGCAGTCAGACTGGGGAGCAAAGAGCTTGCAGATGCTGGATGTTCTCCAGCCAGGAAATAAGATGGGCTCTATCTACTTCTAATGCAGCTCCTTTCCTCTTCCTCTCTCTGCAGCCATCCCTTCCCACGCAAGTTCAGCTCATGTAGCCAGGAGCAGCTGCGAGCTTACTTCCGGAAAGGCGGAGGAATGTGCCTGTTTAACATGCCCAACATGGAGGATCTGGTGATGGGAAAAAAGTGTGGAAATGGCTTTTTGGAAGAAGGAGAGCAATGTGACTGTGGAGAGCCAGAGGTAGGTCCCATCACACTGTGCTTTCTTTCTTATGGTTACGACAAAATAAATACAATGAAATGTTTTTTTTTTATTTAGGTTAATGTGAAATATTGCACGTCATAAAAAATAAAACATTTTAAAATGAGGTTTTTTTTTTTTTTTTTAGTCTGGCAAATATGAAACATCTTGTAGTTTCCAATCCAGCCAGCGGGGGGAGCTAGAGTCACCTTGTCACATATTTAGCTATTTCAGCTTTCAGATCTGCTGTGCAAATTGGTTTCAGTCGGACAAATGGAGCTGCAAAGCAAGCTGCTCTGCTCTGCTGTCTCTGTAGCTAATCCATGTCATGAATTAAATGCTCTGTAATGGAACATTTTAATTCTCTGTTAAGTAGAGTCGGTCTTAGACCAGGGTGCCTTCTAGCTTCCGTAGGGGTGCCACAAAATTTTCCATCACACGGTTCTTTTGGTGCAGGAGAGCCAGCCAACAGCACAACGGAAACCAATGATACCATAACTAAAAAAGAGGTTGAGAAACATTGTCATAGACATTCAGACACAATTCAACATCCATATGAGGGGGGCAGCTATAGGTATGCTGTGGAGTGGGGAAGAAAGAGTCTCTAATGCTGATTTATCTCAACAGTGATTGAATCTCATATCTCTCACAGTCCCAGTAGCAGCTGATCGGGGGTTGATAATCTCACAAACCACTTTTTCTCTCTTGCAGGAATGCACCAATCCTTGCTGCAATGCTAAAGACTGCACCTTGAAGGAGGGGGCGCAGTGCGCACACGGGGACTGCTGCTACAACTGTAAGGTAAGCATTGGATCCAGAGTGTGGCCAATATAGTCTTGGAGGACCACCTTGCTGTAGATACTCTGCAACACTCTTCAACAACTATACCAGTGGCTGCGAACGTATGAGGTATAGGGGACCTCAGCTGTGGCCCCTGGCAGCTCCACAAGGCCACACATAATATTCAGTATATGAAAGCAGACTGTCAAGAGACTTTAGACATATTAGAGGAGGTGGCCAGAGACGGTGGACATTCAAAAGGTGTGACTGGAGAATGAAGACACACTGTAAGGGACAGTCAGAGACTGGGGACATGCTACATGATACTGCTGGAGATCACTGACATTACAGCTTCTTTTAAAATGAATGCCCCTGCTACTGACAGCTGGTGTCTGTAAAGGGCTGCACAGCAAGTGCCAATAGGCCACTCAGGGAAACTGTACACACTCAATAAAGACATTAATCACGTAATACCCAGTTGTAATAGCTCTAAAAAGTGTAATCTACAATAAATAACATCATGCATGACAATATAAATCCAACAAGATCTAAAACATCAGGTCATACAATAAGCATGTCCAACTGAGTGTTCTTGGTTGTCACTAGTTGTCACATTAGGTCTTCATTCCTTACAGTGGCACCATCAATGGTCAGTGGAGCTCCTTGTCTCAATAGCTTACAGTTGCTTTATGAAGCTCTAATATACGGTGCCATGCGGCATTCTCCGACTCTCCAGCTTGAGGTGGGAGGTTCACCCATGAGATGTTTGCCATGGGCCCACCAGTGTGTCTTTAAATGGCTCAGCATGCCTGGTTATTTGTGTGTGTATGGCCCTAAACAACATGGAACACTGATTGCAAGAATTGTACAGTAAGTCGTCAACTCTTCTTCTTCTTCTTCAGCTAAAGTCAGCGGGGACTCAGTGTCGGGAGAAAGCGGGGGCCTGTGACCTGCCCGAGTTCTGTCGTGGAGACAACGCCTTCTGTCCCGCCAATGTCTACATGATGGATGGCTCCTCCTGTGCCTACGAAGAGGCGTACTGTATGAATGGCATGTGCCTGACCCACCAGCAGCAGTGTGTACACCTGTGGGGCTCAGGTATGTGAAGACCATATGCATTCATTTGTACATAGGAGTAACTAATATTATACATTTAGAACTTACCAGACAAGTATGTGCTACTACGGTATGTAGTGCATTCAAGCCTTATGGCACATAGCAATCACTTTACTGTGATTGTTGTCTCTCCATATAACCTTGGAACCTCTCAGTATAACATTGGAACCTCTCAGTATAACCTGGGAACCTCTCAGTATAACCTGGGAACCTCTCAGTATAACCTGGGAACCTCTCAGTATAACCTGGGAACCTCTCTCAGTATAACCTGGGAACCTCTCTCAGTATAACCTGGAAACCTCTCAGTATAACCTGGAAACCTCTCAGTATAACCTTGGAACCTCTCAGTATAACCTTGGAACCTCTCAGTATAACCTTGGAACCTCTCAGTATAACCTTGGAACCTCTCAGTATAACCTTGGAACCTCTCAGTATAACCTTGGAACCTCTCAGTATAACCTTGGAACCTCTCAGTATAACCTGGGAAACTCTCAGTATAACCTGGGAAACTCTCAGTATAACCTTGGGTAAATCATCTTTGCCCAATGACCAACTGATGTCCCCTTGTCCTCTGTACAGTCCTAATAACTAATAATTTGCCAATCATTAGTTACCTTTTTCTCCTTGGGTGTGTTTCCAGGAGCCCGACCGGCCCCCGACATTTGCTTTGTTGACGTGAACAAGGCTGGAGACCGATATGGAAACTGTGGGAAAGACACGCAGGGCCAGTTTGTGAAGTGCAAACCTCGGTAAGTTGATTGCTGACGTAACAGCTTCCTTATCTGGCTCTTTGGCTTTGTCTTAGAAGTAAGAAGACTTTTTGTTACTCTCATCAGGCGGATGGATTTAAAGGATGGATACACTTTTAAAGCACATAGGCTTCTTAATTATAGCTAGGCAATAAAATCAAGTTTCCAGTATTTGGTTCTCTTTCTGTTCTCCTCCCTCATTTGAGAGCTGTCATCAAGGGTTCCTACATTTAGATCTCCTTCCGTTTATATTACTTCATCTTTGAAAACTGCAAAGTTTCTTGTCTAACATCACTACAAGGCCTGCCAAATGCTCTTTTGGTTGGATAGGCACATATTCCCACAGACACCCTCCAAAATATTGTGGAAAGCCTTCCCAAAAGAGTGAAGGCTGTTATAGTCACTAAAGTAGGGCCAGCTCCATATCAATGTCCATGGTTTGGAATGGGATGTGCAGCAAGCTGTAAGTGTGATGGTTTGGTGTCCATAACCTCTTGGCCATATGGTGTAGGATTTTCATAAGAAGGCCAAAAATGGCAACCTCAATTTTTTTCTCATAAGAGGGCCACTTTAATTAAGACTCATCCAGACTGTTAGTATCTCACTACTGGAAAGCTAAATCCCAAGTTGCTGAAAATAATATCAGGGCCTCCATTTTGTACCCGTATCTGTGTAATCATTTTGTGTAGAATGTGCCATATATACTTACACTGGGTACTATTGGGTTATATTGTCATAAATACATAATATTGTTGCATCTGTCTTTGACAGAGATGCCAAGTGTGGCAAAATCCAGTGCCAAAGCAGCGCTGACAAACCCAAACAGGGCAACACGGTCTCCATGGACACCACCATTAACGTTGATGGGTACGAGGTGAAGTGCAGAGGCACGCATTCCTATTCGGTGCAGGAAGATGAAGGAGACTCCTCCGATCCGGGTCTTGTAATGACGGGAACCAAGTGTGGAGATGGCATGGTGAGCCTGGAGGGCCAAGTCTGGATGCACCTATAAATGGATGTTGTCTGCACAACTTTATTGGACATATGGGAATCTAGGTAGTAGGGGTCAAGATCGAGGGCTCGTGGTCATCTACAGTCAATGTGGACCATGTATGGAGGTTTATGGAGGAAGAATGGTCATAACTGCACTAAGACAGTATTAGTGAAAAAAACTGAATCCTGTAAAATGTATAAGCAGACATTGTATAGTGAAACCAGCGCATATTAAGGGCCCAAGGGGCTGAATCTCCCTGTAGTTTCAAATATTTCCTTGAGACTCCAGTGGCTAGAGTTCTCATGTTAGTTCAAGCCTCTACACATACCCTCAAGGACACAATAAAGATATTACACACTTTAGCTGAATTTACTTATTCTACGTTACAGGAAATCTATGGTGGGACATGACTCCATCACTGGTCCTTCTAATGAACATCATTGAACATCATTAAAAAAGAACTTAAATTGTGGTTTCTCCACCGGAGTTCCAAAGAGTTATAAGAACCTATGGTTGGCCATTGACTAAAATTGGAGACAGCCTGGTATTGTTAGGTCTCAGTGGACCAAAGAAACAATATGCCAATGCCCTTGTGGATCAGGGACTTCCATGGACCATTGTGGATTTATTTATAGACAACTATTAAAGGGCCACAGTAAGGCTACCTCCTCATAGACTAGGAACTCCGGGTGGAGATTCTAGCTGTATGAACCTAAAGTGGCTGGTGCTAGTGGAACACATTCAATTCAATTGTTTCGGTCATGTTGAAGATGTTTCAGCACTCATCTAAAAGGCTTCCTTCAGGGCCGGATTTCCCACAAGGCCCGGGCTCGGGGCAGCAGGGAGTAGAGGGGCAGCAGGGGTGTGGAATTCCTATCTCCCGATGCCTGGGACATGCAGTTCTGGGAGCGTAGTTGTTCTCTACATTTAGCCCTGCTTTGGGCAAGCAGAGCCAAATGTGCAGCGGGGAAGCCGCAGCTTGTTTTGTACAAGTGATCTCAGTGATGTCGCCGAGATCACTTGTATGCAGCCTGCAGGTCTGCTACTCTCTATGGGGGGTGGTTGGTGGTTAGGGGGGCGCATTGAAGAACCTGGCCTTGGGGCAGCAGAGAGAGTAAATCCGGCCCTGGCTTCCTCAATTCACAGACTGAGGATCACAATTGAATGAATAGCCCTCAGCATTACAGAACAAGTCCAGTTGAATGTGACACATTGCTACTAGTTATACTATGTACTGAATAAATGAGAACCTTCACGGACCTAGAATACCATTTCATCTCTTATCTGCTTCCTGTACCCAATATTTGAAACAAGGAACCCTGTGATGATTCTCCCTTCTTGTCTGGTTTCAGGTGTGCCGAGACCGCCAGTGTCAGAACGCCTCCTTCATCGACCTTCAGCAGTGTTTATCTCAATGTAACGGACATGGGGTGAGATATGCGACCTTAACAATATACAAGACACAGAACACATGATAACATAGACCACAAACCACAGTAACAGGGACTCTGCTAGTATCAGGAGGTGCAGTGAAGAGGGTGTGGGTTGACCAGGAAGACTGTTGCTGTGGGTTGGTGTTTGGAGATGACAGTTTTATGATAGGTGGTGGGAGCTGAACGTGTTGTTGTGAGTGGGCGGTGGGATTTTAAGTAGTTGTTGGTTGATAGTGAAGCCCGAAAAGGTGTCTATGGATTGTAGACATGTGCGATTCGTTTCGAATCGAAATTCGGACGAATTTTCGGAAATTCGGACATTCGCATGTATCCGAATTCCGAATTACAGACATAACGAATGCAAACGAATCCGAATTTCCATTTCCGAAATTCGGTAGCGGTAGTTCGAACGTTCGTTTCGTTTTCGGTTCTTATTCGTTTCGTTCGTTGAAGCAAAGTGACATTAGAGAAGGAGAAAAATATTTTTTCCCCCTCAAATGTCACTTTGCTGCAAACAAACGAAACGAATAAGAAACGAAAACGAAACGAACGCTCGAACTACCGCTATCGAATTTCGTCCAAAACCAAATTCCGAATCCGAATTGACTTTCACACCCGAATCCCGAAAAACAAAATAACACAAATCCGAATTTAAAACGAAACTAAACAAATTTTTTGGCAGTGCACATGTCTAATGGATTGACAGTTGCAGCTGAATATGTCATTTCAGGATGACATTGAGGCTGAAAGTGTTATTGTGGGTTGAAGGTTGGAGTAGAATTCTTGGTAATAGTGGTTGTTGAGAATGGAAGCTGAAGTTCTTGTGGGTTGACAGTTGCAGCCAAAGTTGTTGGGGGGCGGAGGCTAAAAGGGATGTTGTGGGTCAATGGTTGGAGCTGAAGTTGTAGAGCACATTGAGTTTAAGGTTGATGTAGTGGCTAGACACCTAAAGGGGGGATTTGCTGTGAGGGAGAGTGTAGCCCAATGAGATTGTACAGCCACCGTGCTAGGAAATCCTTTTTGTTTAACATGTATGTCCATTGATCCCAGTCCACCCAAATGGTATATTTTAGTTACGGGTTGAGCGTTGTGGGCTCCTGGTGACCAGTGTGTTGGGGCTTTACCCTATTCTATCCAAAATGTAATGGATTTAGATATTTATGAATGAAGTAAAATATTGCTCCTTTTAACCTTGTAGCCCCTCCATGGGGAAGGGAATACATGTTTTATTGTGTACAGAATGTGATGTGAGCACACAGCTGGTCTATGGCTGAGATTGCACTGACGTCTAATTTGCACTGACCCCCTTCCATCATTTTGTTTCAGGTGTGCAATAATAACAAGCACTGCCACTGTCATGCTGGCTGGGAGCCTCCTTACTGTGACAAGTCTGGGCTGGGTGGCAGCGTGGACAGCGGACCTGTACCGGACGACTGTGAGTTTTACCCCCATAATGTTTAAAACTGAACTGGCTTCCTCTGATATCACTGCACACTGTGAGCTTCTCACAATGTGCCTTAGAAGTTGAAGCAAGTGTAAAAGAGGCCGCCTCATTTCCTGGCTGGAGGATGTGCAGAATCATCTAGCTCTTTCCTCCTCAGCCTTGCTGTCCCTGGCCTGCCCCTTACATTCCTTGGATTTCAGTTCTTTCTTTCCTAGGGGCTCAGCATCACATGTGTGTGTCACCTACGGTGATATGCATGCAATTGCATCTGCCTAGGATTGCCCACTCCTCCAGATGGACATCCACCCATCAAGCCATTTGGATATCTGCATAACTCCTCCAAAGAGCCAGCCCACTGCTTGCATCAGGGCTGAGGGCTCTTCATAGGAGTACTGAGGCAGGGTGCTGTCATGTTTACAGGAAGCTATGTAACTATGATATACTCTGCAGGATGGAGACTGCCAATAATAAATCTTCTGTCTCTAGTTACAGATGGCCTCATTGTCTTCCTGCTGCTTCTCTTCCTGGTCGTTCTCCCGCTGGTGGCCTACGGCTTCTATTACTGGTACCAAAAGCCCAATTCCCAACTCAGCAAATGGCTAAAGAAGAGCAAAGCCAAGTGCAGGTGAGAGGGGATTACACCTTTCCTGGGTGTGTGATGTCATCGGTGTAAACTCCGACATTGAAGCTGCACTCCTTGTGGTCAATATGACTAGAGGGTGCATGCAGTGATTGTGATGAGTGGTGCCGAATCCTGATAAGAAGATGGGGGGGGTCACTCGCACTCAAACACATATGTAGCGCTCACCCCCGAAGGAGCCGCTGAATAACCGGATATTTCTATCCCCCTACACCAATGTACCGCCCAAAGCGTGGATCCACAGCACACCAACACACCTTTGAACAGTTTTATAGCAGATTTACTGACAAATCAGAGACGAACAACTATGATACAATAGTAATGACAGAAATCACCAACAATAATGTGTATCAACAGGCTGAGGCACTCTGCTACCCAGTAACTGCAGCTATCTGCTGTCAGTACTGAGGTATGTGAGGCCAATTGTCTCTAAAGACAATTGGGGTGTATGTCCCTTTAAGGTCTCCCTTTAACAATGTCCAAACCTCCCTATACTACTGGCCAGTAGTGGTGTCCTAAGCTAGCCGGCGTTGGGGCACTTACTGTAGTGCAGATATGAGCAGCAAACAGGTTGTCAACGTGGCCAAAGGCCTCTCACCAATCCTCAGGTCAGTTGGAAAGATATGAAGACTGCTGGCAGGAACTGGGCATCCTCTCTCTCTCTCTCTTCAGTTCAGGCGACATAGAGGGAAGTCATCTGGGTCCCCGACAAAAGGTCCATCCAGGATGTTCGCAGTCCTCTCAATTGGCTCCGTCTGGCTCCCTCTCTCTCTGCTGGGCTGGCTGGATCACTCCGGCGGCTGGTTCAGCCATGCGACTAGGCCTCGGTTCAGGCGCTCGAACACAGTCTCTCTGGTTCAGCAGATGAACATCCGTCCTTCAGAGCGCTGCTGTACAAATTCTGTGTGTCCCAATCTGTCAGTGGGAATCCCACAGCTCTGCTGCATGCAGTCCTAATTCACACAGTGCCGCACACAGGCCTGTCTCCTCCAGATCCCCCAGTCAGACTGGGCACGCTCAGTCACTGCCGTACATAGCCCTCCTCCTTCCTCTCGCACAGCATCCTGGGAGTGGTAGTTCACAAGAGCTCTATTAGCAATCCCCAGTGTCAGCTCTGCACTGCAATCCCCACAAATCTCTGCTTCAGATCACACACAGGGACAAGTTAACTGCTTACAGTTAGGAACAAGAATCGTTGTGATAGCACATATATGTATATTATATAGGGGCTACACATATGACATATTTCATTATGAAGACAACATATACTCATATACTGTAAGTCCAAAAATACCAACATGTGCAAGAACGCCTTCTATTTTTTCCAATACAAGGTATGCTCTGATTGGATGAGGTAAAGATTGTGACATCATCCGCCCCTTCTTTCCTCCTCATCCAATCATAGAAATAGTATTCATTTGAAAAAATACAAGGCGTTCTCTGAACGGTGGCCAGCGAGCGAATCCCTGTGCTGGGCCTGCAGAGGGGAAGCCACGGACAGTGAAACCAGCACTGGCTGTATGTATCACCGACTACCACAAAGATTTTCAGCATTCCCAGCGGCCCTCCGGAGACCAGATATGAATAATTACATTGAACCAATCTGGACCAATCTAAGTATCCATAAAAAAGCCTCCCTGGAATTCTGCTTTAAAATCACATAGAAAAACCTATGGTTTTATCTGTAAATATCTCAATTCATTATCACTGAACCTCCTTGACTAACCTAAAAACGCACCACTAGTAACATACCCTATGATTATATAGAAAAGCGGTATTTCCATTCATTTAGAGTTAATTCCAACATTGGGTTGAGGATAATTTCTGACGCGTTTCCCAGATCACAGATGTGCTTCATCTGGAGATATAGAAGGTGTATATGTAAAATAATCAGGCAGTCACACAGGAACCAGAGTCTGTCTCCTATTCGAAGGATCCCTGAGAGCCAGCTAGTGTTAATAGAGGCGGGTTTTTGGGTTACTTGAGGATGTTTAGTGTTAATGTATTGAGATATTGACAGATAAAACCATATGGACATCTTCTCCTTGGTGCTTACTGTATGTACCAACCTTCTCATGGTTGATGGTGTGCATTGAAAGACCCACATATACATTTCCTGCATCCTCTATCTATAGTAAAGTTTGCAAATGAAGGCAGACATGTTAAATAAGGATGTACTAAAAGATATAAAACAGCTGTATAAAAAGATATAACCTTTGACCCTCTGCAGATCATGGGCCTAGGTGTAGGTAGACCACCTCTGTGGCTACATCCTTGCTGTACTAACTCTATATAATGATGATTTGTCTCTTTGCAGAATGGGTAAAGCTTCCCGCCAGCAGCCGGCTCGCGCTCAGTCCAAAACGATCTTCACACAGCGCAGCGTTCCCCCACCGTCGGCCACACAGAAGGTAATACAACCACCCAATGCGGCAAATAAAAAACTTATCATGTACACATATAGATTCACATTTCTGAATAGCCTTTCTCTCTACTGATCATTACAATTTCTCCCTTTTATCAACTGCAAAACCTTCCTCACATTCTCTATGGAAAGACGTGAAGTGGATGTTGTGAGCATTCTGTGTGCAGAGATTGATAAAAAGAAAAGTTAAATCTCGGGGGAAAAAATTACCCCGTCCTTGACAAAAGTTCCATGAGAACAATGGGCTACAGCAAGGATAGGCAACCTAAGGCACACATGCCAGACTGTCCCTCTGCATCCTTGGCTCACCAACCTCCATGTTTCAGTGATTTGAGGTCTAAAGGTGTAGGAATTGGGGATGATCTGAGGTCTGTAGGTGCAGGAATTGGGGTGATTTGAGGTGCGAAGGTGCAGGAATTGGGAAGAATCTGAGGTGTGAAGGTGCAGGAATTGGGGTGATTTGAGGTGTGAAGGTGCAGGAATTGGGGATGATCTGAGGTGTGAAGACACAGGAATTAAGGCTGATCTGAGGTCTGAAGGTGCAGAAACTGGGGCTAATCTGAGGTGTGAAGGTGCAGGAATTGGGGTGATCTGAGATGTGAAGGTGCAGGAATTGGGGTGATCTGAGATGTGAAGGTGCAGGAATTGGGTCTGATCTGAGGTCTGTAGGTGCAGGAATTGGGGTTGATCTGAGGTCTGTAGGTGCAGGAATTGGGGTGATTTGAGGTGTGAAGGTGCAGGAATTGGTGATGATCTGAGGTGTGAAGACACAGGAATTAAGGCTGATCTGAGGTCTGAAGGTGCAGAAACTGGGGCTAATCTGAGGTGTGAAGGTGCAGAAACTGGGGCTAATCTGAGGTGTGAAGGTGCAGGAATTGGGGTGATCTGAGATGTGAAGGTGCAGGAATTGGGGTGATCTGAGATGTGAAGGTGCAGGAATTGGGGTGATCTGAGATGTGAAGGTGCAGCAATTGGGTCTGATCTGAGGTCTGTAGGTGCAGGAATTGGGTCTGATCTGAGGTCTGATGGTGCAGGAATTGGGTCTGATCTGAGGTCTGATGGTGCAGGACTTGAAGCTGATTGGAGGTGTGAAGGAACTGGGGCTGATCTGAGGTCTGTAGGTGCAGAGGTTGGGGCTCATTTGAGGTCTGAATGTGCAGGAGTTGGGGTTGATCAGAGATGTTAAGGTGAAGGAATTGGGGTGATCTGAGGTCTTTAGGTGAAGGAGTTGGGCTGATCTGAGTTATGAAGGTGAAATACAGAGTTGAAACATATACTGTTGGAGCTGTTTTAGCTGTTCTTGCAGTCTTTAGATATTCACAGCTCTGCTACACAGCAAAAGCCCTGCCTGGCAGGTCAGGAGAACTAATTTTCTTAGCTGCTAACCTGTGATTAGACAGTAAAGGAGCAAAATCAGCTGATCTCTCTGCTCACATTGCTTTTTCCTCCTGCAAGCATGTCAGGATGCAGCTTACCTGACTGGCTGCTCTCTCAGGCTGAGCTCTGCTGTACAAGAGGCTATTACCAGGTCAAACGTAGGTACGTAGGTTTCTCTAATATATGCCCGGGGTTCAGCTTCAGATACTACATTGTTATAATCTTTTCTGTCGAACTGAGTCAATGTGTTGCCCTCAGTAGACATAACGGGACCCTTGATGATTATAACCACACAATTGGTCCAGTGCAACATGTGTGTATGACCTCCATGTCATAGAGATGGATGTGTACGTGGTAATATTTCTCATTGTTGATTTCCATCCACACAGACTTCATGGGGCGTCTTTAAAGGAAAAAGCAGTGCGTCAGCAAGCAGTCCGCAGCCAGTCAACATCGTTCGCCCTCTACACCCACCCTCCAGTCAGACGACCAAATCCTTCATACAGCTGAAACCATCCAGACCTCCTCCACCAGCCAAACCGTCCCCTGTAATTTTGACACACAAACAAGAGAGCCAGAACACCAAGCTTCTACCTCCGAAGAAACCACTGCCGACCTGCCCTGTCCGCACTCCGCAGGTACTCTGAGCCAACACTGTCCATTCATCCACCAAAAAAAAAAAGAGGGTCCCTCCACCCAGAGGGAAATAAGTAGCGTCTAGGGGGAAGGTGTTCTTCTTCTTCTAGCTTCTTATACCTCTTGAAGATTCCAGCAGTGAGATCTTCTTGATGAGGGCCAGATTCCCCACTAGGCCACATAGACCTTGGCCTAGGGCACATGACTATCGAGAGTGGCACCCAAATCCACTTCACAGTCCACACAGGCTGCCAACTGCTACTTGGGCTCAGACAGTCTGATACTCTTCTACACCGCTGCTCCCCCACCAGCCTGCCCACAACAAGGCTACAACTTCCACTGAAGTCCAAACCCCATCCCCACGATGACTAAAAAAAACAACCTCCCCCTTGCTATATAACATGCGTGCTGTTGCCCAAAGTGTGTAATGTACAGCAGGGTACAGGGGACCCTTAAATTTTGCATAATTTCTGACTCTCAGTTCTCTAATTCTGTCTGTTCTATCGCCAGCTAAATCCTCCTCGGAAGCCACTTCCTGGAAACCCAGTCCAGAAGAAGGACTGTTTGCTTGTCACGATGCCAGCCAACAGCAAACCACCCATCACTGAATCTGCCACCCAGCTTAAAGGACACCACTGGTAGGTACCAAATTCTTCGAAACCATACACCCCTCTTAGCCTTACTTTTGGTAAGATGTACTTTAAGTGCTATTGCAGCTTGGTCAGTCCTGTTGTATTTTACTTTGTGTTGTTTTGTAGGCCAAAGCCAGGAAGCAAGGTGCAAGCAGCAGCAGCAGCGTTCCTCCAGAAGCAATGACAAGCAAGGTACTTGTAGCGACTGTCTCGGCCGAGGGCCAGGAGGGACGGCGTCCTGACATTTGCATTTTTAGGATGAGAATACCCCTTCAGATCCTTGAATGACACTTTCTCACACTGGATGGACATCGATGTGAGAAGTGTCTGTCTGTAGACAAGCGTGTCCGTGTTGTGGTGTACTGCACTGAGAGGAACCCCCAGGCCCCTGGTCTTCCTGGCTTTCTCAGCCACCTCTGATACAATAGCACTGAACCCTGGGATAATGTCTTCAGATGTGACTTATGGAAGGATATCTTGATGAGCTGTCCATCAGACTGGAAGTTTCCTTCTTCTTCTGAGAAGGAGTTTTGTTCTCCATAACTGACCTAGACTTATGGAACCACTGATAGGATCTCACAGAATTGTGGGAGATTGAGTGTCCTCGTGACCAAGAAAATGGACATTCCGTTCTTTCCTAAGGCCTTATTTCAGAATACATGTTATGGAATGGAAGTCATGCCTTCAAGCATTGACCATGAGTATTGTCATATTCCGTACCTTCACATCATGTCTGCGACGGTTCCCATTTCTTCTCTCTTCATGGTACAGCTAGTAGACGTTAGTCACATTCTGCTGGACTTGTTCTGCCAACTTGAAGATGTTTCAAAACTCATTCTATGGACGTGTCTTCCACATTACAGCACAAGTATAGTTGAATGTGACTAACTACTACTATAAACCCTTCATATATTCACCCTTGCTCTACAAACCCTAAAAAAATGGTATCTTTTGAGTGAACGCCCTAATTGTGAATCCCCAGACAGAATATTATGGATGAAAATCATCTCAAAAGGTCCATCTCATTGGTGGATTCGAGGCCAGCCACAAAGGCAAAGACGTGCCTCATGTCCTCCTGACACATTAGGATCTTCGATGGTTGTCTCAAGCAGATGTAATTAGATCATGAGTCCTCCATGGAACAGCCAATTGGGTACATGGTTTCCAATTTGTCATGGTTTCTGTTAAAGGACCTGTGAATATCATACATGAAGTCAGAAACTCATTGGCATTAATGGCGGTTGTATGTCAACGCTAAGTGAACCTGTTTTGCCCATAGAGATTAGCATAAGAGGAGCACTTTGGGTGGGTATATTTATGAATGTTTTCACATAACATTCACACAACTTTCTAATTAGAGTCAGTTGGGAAAATGTGTGTATCCCAGGTGGAATCATTCATAAATAGACCCCTGAGTGAATCTAAAGCCAAAACTGTTTTGAGATTTGCCTTGACTTCCTGTCTTGGATACGCAGTGGATGCGTTTCCCTGGTCTATCTAAAACTAAAAAACTATTTTTGGCTTTTAACTTCCCCCACCACCCTGGTTATCCCCACATGATCCCCCATACCCAAAATAATCTGGTATTTCACTTAAAACCCAATGGAATGTTTAGCTTAAATACATCCCATGTCCATCAAAACAATAGGTGAGCAAAGTCTTACACTTGGTTGTCTTTTAAAGCAGCCACAAAAAAGCCCGGCCATTGCCAGCATGCTGCAGAGAAGGACCTTGCTCTTTGTATGGAAGCAGTAATCTCTCAGCAGAGGTCTGACATGCCATAGCTAGAGCTCTCCAATCAGCAGAGAGTATGAGACTTGCTGATTGGAGGGCTCCAGCTCTGACTCCACAGGGGGTGTGTTTTTGACCTTTGCAGAAAGACCAGAGCTAGGGCTCTCCAATCAGCAGAGAGCACGAGACTTGCTTATTGGAGGGCTCTAGCTCTGACACCATGTTGGACCTTTGTAGAGAGACCAGAGCTAGAGGTCTCCAGTCAGCAGAGAGCATGAGACTTTCTGATTGGAGGGCTCTAGCTCTGACTCAGCAAGGGGTATGTTGGACCTTTGCAGAGAGGCCAGAGCTCTCCAATCAGCAGAGAGCATGAGACTTGCTGATTGGAGAGCTCTAGCTCTGACTCCGCAGGGGGCATGTTGGACCTTTGTAGAGAGACCAGAGCTAGAGGTCTCCAATCAGCAGAGAGCATGAGATTTGCTGATTGGAAGGCTCTAGCTCTGATTCCTCAGGGGGCGAGTATGGTCTCTGCAGGGAGACCAGAGCTAGAGTTCTCCAATCAGCAGAGAGCATGAGACTTGCTGACTGGAGGGCTCTAGCTGTGACCTCACAGGGGGTATGTTGGACCTTTGCAGAGAGACCAGAGCTAGCAGAGACCAGAGCTAGAGCTCTACAATCAGCAAAGAGCACGAGACTTGCTCATTGGTGGGTTCTAGCTCTGACTCCTCAGGGGGCGTGTTTGATCTCTGCAGAGAGACCACTGCTTCCACATAGAGAGCAAGCGTCCTTCTTTGCAGCGTGCTGGTAGGGGACAGGCTGAGGCTAATTTCTGAGGAAAACAAACTAACACTTAGCACACCTTGAGTTTTGTTTGCGCCCAGAATGTTTTTGGCTGATTTGAGGCCAGTTGGACCTTAACGTGCATTTCCACCTTTGCAGTTAATGAATTTAAAGTCTGCATCTCGCCTCTGAACTTGGTGAAAATAAAATCAACAGGCTACACAGCACCAATTATCAATATGGCCAGCCTGCCTATGTCACTGACCTGCAATACGCCTATTCATACCATGCGTCCTGCAACTACACTGGATGCACTTGTGTCCCGGGTCAGTGGCTCCCCGAGCAATGAAGGATCAGAATGACCCCCTCTGAGCCTCGACCTTCAAAAACAAACTTTCATATTGCTATCCTTGACAGGTCCTCTTAAAATACATACAGGTTAGGTACACAGAAGAGCTTCTACGGACCGTGGTGCTATTAATAGTCTTGTCCGTATTTGTAGACGTAGGAGGATAGTAAACGCAGGAAGTTGGAATCACAATTTATTTATATCATTTATAATTATGTTACGTAATCTGACCCTTTGTATAAAATCTTTTTAGGAAAATTATTTATTTACATTATTAAAATGTTTCTATGAATGTCAATATTAGAAGAAAAAAAAATGTATCGATACAAAAATAGCGTAGGAGATGGCCGTGGGTTGTCGCAGACGTGGCTCCTTGCTGGCCGTATTGGTAGTGGCCTGCGATACCCATATAGTATAAATCTTATGCCTGTTATGTTTATCCTGCGGGTTCTCCGAGGGGTCTGCACTGATTGCAGTGCAAAGACTTTTGTACTGCTATTTAATTGCTGGTACTGAAAATTTTACTTTTATTACAAAAAAATAAAGTTTTTTTTATACAGCTGCTGTGTGATTCTTTATTTCATAGATACAATATATCCTTATCGCGCTATATACCGGTATAAACCCCTCAGGTGTGGTGCTGACACAGCTGGTGGAGGGAGCCACAGTAATCCATGTGTAAAGTACACTATATTGCCAAAAGTATTGGGCCCCTCCCCCTCCAAATCATTGGATTCGGGTGTTCTGTGAAATTTCCTTGCTACTAAATATTCAGCGGTTCCCTGTTACTGGGATTATAACAAAGTGGAAGCAACTGGGAACAACAGCAACTCAGCCAGGAAGTGGTAGGCCACGTAAAATGACAGAGCGGGGGTCAGCGCATGCTGAAGCGCACTGTGCAGAAGTTGCCAACTGTCTGCAGAGTCAATAGCTACAGACCTCCAAACTTCGTGTGGCCTTCAGATTGGCACAACAACAGTGCGTAGAGAGCTTCATGGAATAGGTCTCCATGGCCGAGCAGCTGTACCCAAGCCTTACATCACCAAGTGCAATGCAAAGCGTGGGATGCCGTGGTGTAACACACGCCGCCACTGGACTCTAGAGAAGTGGAGACGTGATCTCTGGAGTGACCAATCACGCTTCTCTGTCTGGCAATCCGATGGACGTATCTGGGTTTGGCTTGGCCCCTTAGTTCCAGTGAAGGGAACTCTTAAGGCATCAGCACACCAAGACATTTTTGATAATTTCATGCTCCCAATTTCAATTTAAAAATGAATGCAGAGTATTGTACCTGTGACAATTCACCTCTCTGGTGGGTGGCAGGTCCAAAAGTGTCTCCTGGTGGTAGAGACCCCGGAAAAGTCTTCAGGGTTCTTTACTTCCAGGAATGTCAAATTCTTCCATCCTATCTCCGCAGTGCTCAGTGGTTTATCACGTTGGCCCCTACATCACTATTGTCTCTAGGGATGAGCTTTGGGTTCAGGCTGACAATAACTTTAACCCAAACTCAAGCTGTTTGCCCAAGATTTGGCCAGTTTGCCTGAACCTCTGTCTGTGTCCTTGCAACCAATGGTATTGTGTGACCCACACATCATCACTGGTGGTTGAGCCGCACAGCGTCATTGGTGGACTGTTGGCTGAGCTGCACACAGCGTAACTGGTGGACTGCTGGCTGAGCTATACAGCATCATTGATGGACTGGTGGCTGAGCTGTACAGTGTCGTTGGTGGACTGGTGGCTGAGCTACACAACATCATTGGTGAACTGGTGGGTAAGCTGCACAGCACCATTGGTAGACTGGTGGCTGAGCCATACAGGCTTAATGATGGACTGGTGACTGAGCCACACAGTGTCATTGGTGGACTGGTGTCTGAGCCACACAGCATAACTGGTGGACTGGTGGCTGAGCTGTACAGTGTCATTGAACTGCTGGCTGAGCCACACAGCGTCATTGGTGGATTGATGGCTGAGCCTCACAGCGTCAATTAGTGCACATCATCATTAGTTGCTAGGATGCAGGTAGGAGCACCATACCAACCTATTATATTGTGAGGCCACCATTGTCTTAGCAAACAATGACTCTGGCTGTGGAGCTTCCGTCAAAGTTTTTAGCATTTGACACTTCCAAGAGTATTGATTGACTGAATCCCCCGCTGTGTATTCTCTCCACTGCCCCCTACGTCACTATTATGTCTTGTAGTGACCAGGGAAGGGCTTTGGGTTCCGGCCAACCATGAGCTTGGCTTGAACCCAAGTTTGACAAATTGACCAACTACTTGGACAGTTCACCCGCCCGATGAACATCCATCAACCTATAACGCTGTGGTGCCTTCACTGTCTTCGTGCTAAGATGCTGGCTGCCGCAAAGTGTCATTGGTTGTATTGGTGCGTCCGCCTGTGTCCTAACATCCACAGACGCGGTGTGGCCCAGCTGCTAGCAACCAATGACGCTGTGCGAACTACAGAGCATCATTGATTGCTAGGACACAGGCAGCCCTCCGTTTGGTTTGCTTGGGTGGGTTTTTGGCTGGGTGCAGCGAACATCCAAGTGCACTGAACTCAGGCCAGTTATATCATCATTAGTACGTACATAGGGGCTGGCAGGAGGATGTAGGGCCTGGCAGGAGGATGTTGGGGCTGGCAGGAAGGTGCAGGGGCTGGCAGGAAGATGTAGGGACTGGCAGGAGGATGTAGGGGCTGGCAGGAAGGTGCAGGGGG